CCTTTCCTTTCCTTTCCTTTCCTTTCCTTTCCTTTCTCCCTCCTTCTTTCCTCCTCCCTCCCTCCCTCCCTCCCTCCTTCCTCCCATCCTTCCATCCTTCCATCCTTTCTCCCTCCCTCAACCTGGGATCCCTGCACACCTGGGCTGGGCCATCAAGCAGCAGGCAACTGACGGAGAGGAGAGAGACCCTCAGCATACAAATACATGTAATTTTGTGTGCTTTAAACACCTCACTCCCCAAACCCATTTGAGGACCCTCCCCGAAAACATCCAGGGAGAGGGAAAAAGGCAGCAATCACTGTTCGCTGCTCATTTTTAAATTGCATCAAGAAAAACCTCTTGGCAATTTTCTCTTGGAACACTGTAAACTCCTGGAATAATTCCGATAAGGCTGACAGCGCTAATGAATGCAATTAGTTGATTAATTAACTTCGCGGCAGATTAAAAAAATACAGCGTTTAATGGAGGTGTGTGTCTCTGAGAGAGAAGGGTGCAGGGGAGATCAGTGTGAAAAACAACCTCCTTTGTGCTTTGCGCTTTGGATATTTCGCAGAAAACGCACAGATGCTGAATTTAGGGCAGCGTTTGTTCTCCCCAGAGAACCGCTGGCATCCTTCGAGCTGCGCGCTCATTAATCCCCGTTTATGATTCCAAGGTGATTTTCTACCCAGCGTTTGGAACTGCTTTGTCCCCTAGATGACCTACTGGATAAGGGAATCCCTTCCCAGCAATTTAATTTCTCTGAATAAAATACCCTCCATTCCACCATTTTGAAAGGAAGCCTCCGAGAGGCAAGGCACAGTGCAAACAGCAGAATCAAAAGATCCCCCATGGTTTTAAAATGCTGGTGATTTCAAATGCAAGTAACACATCTGGTTGAAAGATACGGCTGGCGGCAAATCTAAAATACCAGGGGTCCCCCCACCCCCCGGTAATCCTTTGGATCGCCCGTACTTTTGCTTGAGATGAGAAACCCAGGGAGCCAAGAAAAAAGAAAGGAAAAAAACGAGGCCCCGGGGCCGTTTCTGAGAAGGCCCTGTGGACAATCCTATCCCTTAGTTCAACCATAAAAATCCAACTCAAGGATTGCAGACTTTAAAAAGGGAATGTGTGTTTCCCAAGGCTAGTTCTTGCTCCAAGCAAACAATTACTTACCCTCTGAAATCCCCCTCTGAAACTGCAGATATACTGCCTTTGAACCTGGAGGCTCTACGGAGCTGTCATAGGAGTACTGTACAACCCAGCCTGTCCTCTAAGTAGCAGGTTCCAGTCCTGATCTGCTCTCATGAACATGTTAATCCAAATTCTCAAACCAGTTCTACCTCCCGATTACCCAAGTCCATTAGATACGGCCGTAGCTCCCGAGACACGCAGAAATCAAGGGGAAAAAGATGTTTTGCCCAGAAGAAAACCTGGGGAGACTTTTAGTTTTCCTCCAAATTTTTGGACTGCTGACATTTTTACTAGGGAAATAAAATGGGGAATGTTTCCTCCTCCCTCCCCGTCTTTACCTCTCTAGGCCGAGAAATGATGAATCATTCCGTATGCAATTCATCATCACACATATATGTGTCTGTGAAGCTACGCAGGCCCCAGAAAAGGGTCTGAGAATGAGTAATGATGCAAAATACCTCCTCCCCTTGGTTCTTGCATGGCCAGAGTGTCTTCCAGCAGGAACCGTTTGCCGTTCTGAGTGCCGATCCAGGTTGGCCTTGTCCGCCTCTCGCTATCACGAGAGAGCAGCGCTCGCATTAAAGCGAGGGAGTTCCCACGGGCGTCTCCTTGCTTTCATTCCACGTTAGGCTTCAAAGCCTCTTTTTTTTCCAAGTTGCAAAGTTGCCAATGGCTCGATTAGGCCTTGGGCAGAATCCAGCCCGCTGGGTGTTTTCTTTACAGCTCCGTTTCGCTGCCGGGCATGAAGAGCGCAAAGCATTTTTAGGACAAGTGGGCCACACCTTACGGCACCAAGGGACACTCAGGAGAGAATCAGCCCTGAACAGATCCGTGCTAAACTCCATCCTCCAATTTCCCCCAGGCGGATTCCCCTTTGCAAAATTCGCCTTTGCAAAAGAGGCTTTTGGTTTTCTGCCTTATTCTCAGAATGTTTTAGAATGTCTTAGTGGGGCATTATTGAATGTATTGTAGCTTAGTTTACCTTAGTTAATTCTTATTGATTGTTTTTTCTGTAACATACTTATCCATCATTTTGTTGGCCCTACTTTTTAATCTTAAAAAAAAAAAAAAGGAAGGAAGGAAGGAAGGAAGGAAGGAAGTTTCTCATTTATTGCACTTCAGGAAAATGTGGGAGATTACAAAGCCTGCAGATCATGAGAAAGTTTGGATAGAGATAGAGATCCAACCTCTCCCATCCTCTGCAGGCTCTCTGACATTTTCCTGAAGTGCAATAAATGAGAAAGTTTCTTCCTTCCTTGGTGTGAAGGTGGCCAGCGCTCCACTCTCTCATAACTAAAAGTGCAGGAGCCACGTTCTCGACAAATGAGAATTTCATTGAAATATTCTTCTCATTCGGAACACCAACACGCAGATGCTCTTCATTTTCCATCAGTTGGAATAAACTGGTTCGTTAGACCGACAAATTCAATGTCTTGAATTTGCAAAATGATGACGATTTGCAAATCCTTTGGTCCGAAAGAAGACGCTTTCGGTTGCTGTCCTGTAATAGGCAAGGATTTCAAAGCCACAGATTGAGGGTCATTCCAGGAAGGTGCACATCTGCTCTGTAGTCTTGCTGGAGACCTCCAGGGCTGTGTTTGCGTCTCTTCTCTGCAGTGGGAGGAAGTGAGCGGCTACGACGAGAACATGAACACCATCCGGACATATCAAGTGTGCAATGTCTTTGAATCCAGCCAGAATAACTGGTTACGGACAAAGTATATCCGAAGACGAGGGGCTCACCGGATCCATGTGGAGATGAAGTTTTCCGTCCGCGATTGCAGCAGCATCCCCAACGTCCCAGGATCTTGCAAGGAAACCTTCAACCTTTACTACTACGAATCGGATTACGACGCAGCTACAAAAAGCTTTCCCACCTGGATGGAGAACCCTTGGGCCAAGGTGGACACCATCGCAGCCGACGAGAGCTTCTCCCAGGTGGATCTTGGGGGACGGGTGATGAAGATCAACACGGAGGTGCGGAGCTTCGGGCCCGTCTCCAAGAACGGATTTTATTTGGCCTTCCAAGATTACGGGGGTTGCATGTCCTTAATCGCGGTCCGCGTCTTTTACCGCAAGTGCCTGCGCATCATCCAGAATGGCGCCATCTTCCAGGAGACACTGTCCGGAGCGGAGAGTACGTCTTTGGTAGCGGCCAGAGGCACTTGTATCCCCAATGCTGAAGAGGTGGATGTCCCCATCAAATTGTATTGCAATGGGGATGGTGAATGGCTGGTACCCATCGGGCGCTGCATGTGCAAGTCCGGCTATGAATCGGTGGAGAATGGCACCGTCTGCAGGGGTAAGTGAGCTGCGCTGCAGCTTGTTTTCAGCTTGGGTTCGTGAGTGGCTGGCTGGAGCAAGGAGAGGAGAGGAAGGACTGCAAAGGAGCGATGTAATGGTCTGTAGGAACGACTTTGGGAGGCAGGAGGAAGAGCTGCAGACTAGACAGCAGTTGGATAAGAGGCAGCTGAGGCCACAGAAGGAAAAGGGATGTGGGAAGCATCTTAGAAAGGACCCTCCCTAGGCTGTAAAGGCGACGGGGGAGAAATGTACTTTCAGAGTTGCAAGATTTTGTTAATGTATCCTTACAATTAAGTAGAATTAATTCATGTTGGCATGCTTCTTTTCTGGACTAGGCTAATATCAATCTTGCAAGTCTCAAAGTTTTAAGGAAGGATGCATTTTATAATAATTGACCACACACAGTCTATGTTGATAAGCAACCTGTTCCTAATTTGCAAGAAATCGCAGGTCTTCAATCCACTGAGTAACTGGAACCATGAATTTATCTTTCTGATGTTGAAATATTTCTCTCTTAGGAAATATGATCTTTCTAAAGGGCCTCTAGGTAATGGGTGGAATTTTATAAGTCAAAATATGGGTTGTTTGGAATGTACTCAATGCACGAAGCCGACCATCGTGGCTCAGTGTAGGTGCGAAACTGGCCATTTGTAACGGTGTGTGGGAAAGACCTTGGGAGACAGGAGGAAGAGCCGCAGACTAGGCAACAGTCAGATAAGGGAGGGCATAGCCCACAGCTGCATAGTGGGTAGAGAAAGAGTCTCAGAAAGGACCCTCCCTAAGTTATCAGGCTGTAAAGGGGACGGGGGGAGAGATGTACTTTCAGACTTGAAAGATTCTGTTAATGCAGCCTAACAATAAAGTAGAATTAGTTCATCTGGTCGTGTTTCCTGCCTGGTCTACCTACTAAGGCTGACATCACCTGAGCTTTTTCTGTCTGACAGATCATGATGCCAGTTTCTGGTTCTCTTCAGTCCCTCGCGTCAGGTTGCCCTTCAAACCAAGAATCGTCCCTTCCTCTGTATTAGAAGTCACAATGAGAAAACAGCGGCACCGGGGCTCATCTGACTTGTCAGATTGTCAAGGCTGACAAGCAGTACCTTCAGCTCAGACCCAGAGCTGCAAGTTCACTGGAGCAAGGTGACAGGCAAACGCAAATGTGACTTCTACGCGTATATACAGTGCGAGCTGCCCGTGTCGTCTTGTTTCTCTTTCAGTGTTTTGTTTCTGTTGCCTGGCTGCCCCGGACCCCAGTGATCTGCATGGGGGTCCAAAAAATCAAGATGGCATTGCATCAGTGCAAATAAAGTCCCACCCCTTTTACCCACATATAAAAGGGATGGAGGGTCGATTTATCCATGGGTGGGATGTTTTTCATGGTATTTTGGTTGGAAATTTGAGGGTCAGCTTATCCATGGATGGGCTTATCTGTGAATATATACAGTAATGTTTGTACAGTCCTCAGTTAATGACGGTCTGAAGTTATGACAGCCTTGGAAAAAGTGCTTTATGGCCTGTACTCGCACTTACAACCGTAGCAAACCATTGCACCACCCCCACAGTCACATGATTGCAATTTGGGCCCTTGGCAACTGGCTCGCGTTTACGCCAGTTGCAGCGTCCTGCGGTCACATGATCACAATTTGCGACCTTTTTTGCTGGTTTCTGGCAAAAAATGTCCATTGGGGAAGCTGGATTCACTTAGCGACCACATGATTTGCTTAATAGTCACGTGATTCTCTTTATGACCATTGTAAAAATGGTGATAAAATCGGGACCGGTCATGTGGTGACTCACTTAATGACCACCCCACTTAACAACCAATTTTCCAGTCCCTATTGTCATTAAGTGAGGGCTACCTGTAGATAGACGAACACAACCAATGCTTTTTGGAGAGATTTTTTTAAAGGGATTTTTCAGGAACACTTTCCAGAAAATGGAAGGAATGGGAACTAGAGGAAAGAGGAATTGAATGGGCACATAACTCTGGTTTCTGGCATTAAGCCAGAGTTTAGACTGAAAATAGAGTTGCAGGTTCGGGCAACCCCCGTTGTCTTACCAGGCCGACCATCCTCTTAAACCATTTGAGCAAAGGATGCAAGGAGAGACACGGTTTCTGGTTCTCTGATTTAGGGTTAAGCGAGTTGTGCGAACCCAACCCCGTTCGCTTCCTTTGTTTTTCTCAAGTCAGCCCAGGGATTGTACGGCTCTTGGTGTTCCTGAGGATTGAGGAGAACACCGCTCGTTTTGGCAGGCTCTTAAGTGTGGCTTGCTAATTCATCCTAGCCTTGCTTTTAATTTACATTGTTAAAATATTTGTATCCTGGAACTTAACGTTTCCATTTCTGCCAGCCGTCTTGACTGTTCAGCTGAATCTCGGTCTAAAATGTCTGGCTTCCACAGCACCTAGAGAATCACCTCTGTTTTGCTAAGCCTTTTCTGAGCCCCGCACAGACTTGCCGGGGCGGTGGGGGGGGCGGGAGGAAAAAACTAATTAAAACCAGATTCTGTAAATCTGCAGAGCTTCGTTGTACATTTGGCGCGGTGGAGGAATTTCCCAGAGAAAGGATGCTCGTAAGACTCTAGGTTTTTTTGATATTCAAAAAGTGCTATTGTTTTTGCGAACGTTTCCCATCATTTGTTCAATATCGGCCGGTTGCGCTATAGGAAAGGCGAAGCTTTAGTTTTGCGCCTCGGCTTGCAAGGTGGAAGCAGCACACGCTTTCATGAACCGATTCTGCGCTTCGAGAAAAGATTCTTTGAACGTTTCTTTCTCCGCGTCTTTCCCATGGTTTGTGCTATGCTTGAGTTGGCCAGTAATGGGTCTCCCTCTTTTCAATATCCTTTACGCAGGCATTGGGTCTTTATTCTCTGCATTTATTTAAAGAGTCGTCGTACCTTGCTCTTGAAAGAGAAAGCTTCTTAGAAACACCAAGCAAGGCCGTTCTTGCTCTTGGGCTTACCCTCTAAAAGACGCGGCATGCAAGGAAAGGGGGAGGGGGAGGGCAGATGAAAAAAGCAAGCACAGGGTTCCGCTGAAATGGAACTGCTCTTATAACAAGCGCTGCATCCATTAGTTGTCTGTAGCAAGGTGGAGCTTTGCTTGAGCGAGGGAGACAAAGGCTGAATTAATCAGAACCCTGCCCAGTGCAGCAATGCTAATTAAAACACAATGGGAAGGTGGGAAGGGACCTTGAAAGCCATCTAGTCCACCCCCAGCCCAGTGCAGGAATTCACCCCGGTAGATGGCAGTTTAAACACCCCCAACGAAACCCGGCTGGGTGACCTTGGGCCAGTTATTCTCTCTCAGCCTAGCCCACTCCACCCTACAGGGTTGTCGTTGTGGATTTGTTTGTCTGGGGAATTCTGGGAGTTGAAGTCCACCCATCTGTCAGTTGAGAAAGACTGGTCTAGAAGCAAGACACGCTGTCGCCTCTTGGTCCAGCATCCGCGAACCCCTGGAGAGATGCTGCTTGTAGGCATAAACCAGGACAGCTTTGGGGCTGAGGGCAAGGAGGCCACCTGGAGAGGCCTCCAGGCTCCCCAGAACTCAGCGAGTCCTGCAATGAACTTGGCTGGTCTTCCAGACGTGGGCCTGCCTCACAGACGTCAGACGCCCGCAGCAACCTCTTGAATGGGGGACGTCAGCCGAGATGGGCTCAGAAGTCAGAAAACGGTGCTGCCGGAAGGGTGCAACTGAGCAAAGATTTCCCCTTACTCAAGTCCGGGCACTCGTAAAATCCAGAGTCTGTTAGCTATAAGCGTATGTGAAAGTAGGGATGAGGCGAGAGAGGCCCCTTCCTGCTCCTGCTCCTGCTCCTGCTCCTCCTCCTCCTCGGTTTTTTAAAATCAGAGATAATAAAAAAGAGGTTTTCTTTGGATCCGGGGCGTTTGAGAGAAATGGCATTGCTGCCGTCCTGATAGACTCCCGTTCATTTTCTTCCTTTAAAGCTGCTGTCCCCAGTCCTTCCCACCCTTTTCCCGGAGCATCGAGTTTTTCCCTTCTGCAGTGGGGAACCGACCTCCAAACCCGGCCAGGAGAAGCTCTTGCGGGTCCCTGCGCCCACTTCCAGTCCATCTCCCGGGCAGATGTTTTGGAAAAGGCGGAGTGGGCCATCTCGGCTCCAGAAGATCCCAAAGGGAGTGGGGCAGAGTCCCTGCTGGGGGATTTTGGGATCCCCCAAACCTTCTGCCCCGTCTGCCCCCCCAAACCCCATGAGCAACCTCTGCACCAGTTTGAGACCAGTTTGACAGCTGGCCTCGCTGTCATTGTGCTGCTGGCCCCCTCTTCGCTGGGTTTTCGGGTTCAGTCGTGGCTCTGTGTGGCCAGAATTGGCAAATGAGAAAGGCGGGGGGGGGGCAGGGATGAAAAAGAATTAAAGCAGAACGAAGTTAAAGAATTCAAATATTAGCAGTTTGGTCTTCCCAGGACAAGAAGGGTGGGTCAAGAATCTGAGTTAAAAACTAGATTTACTTTGTATTTAGATGTATCGCTCACCTTTCCTCCAGGAGCTTGAAGTTAAATGATTCAGGACGAGCACTCCCTTCTCATTTTCTCCCCTACAACAATCCTGCGAGGCCGGTTGGGCTGAGAGAATGAGAGAGAGGCTGGGCCAAAATCACTTGGTGCTCTTGTGGCCGTAGAGGGAGCTGAACCGGGATCTTGGCCATCTGGGTCCCAGGCTCTGCCCACTGCACCACACTACCCTTGCTTCTGATCCAGAAACTGTAAGGAAGCTGAACGGAGATGGAATTGCAGGATTTTGCAAGAGTCCGGCCTGTCTTTGCAGGGGAGGGGAGGCAGGTCCTGGTGTGAGTGTGTGTGTGTGTGTGTGCAGCGCTCTGCAACACCCC